ACCTTAAAGGTAAGATGTCGACCTTAACTGTGTTTTTATTTTTTCATCTTCTTTGATCGAACTGACTTCGAGCTTTCTTTCCTTCTTTGTGCAGATGCTGAGTGTGGCGCGAGGTCTTACTTTGAATGGTATCAACATTTCGAATGAAATGGAAGAGGTTTTGAAGGAGAAAGAGCGAGCTGAAAAGCGAGCTCGTGGCCTAGAAAAAGCCCTCAAGACTACTGAGGCTGACCTCAAGAAGTTCCAAGAAGAACATGAGACATCCAAGGCTGAGGTCGGGGAAGTTAAGATCGAGATTCTGCAGTCCCAGAGGTGCTTTGGGAAAGAGCTGGTGAAGGCTCGTGATGAGGCTCGAGCTCAAGCTATTGAAGACTTCAAGAAGTCTGACGAGTTTGGGACCCTATTGGGATAATATGGGTTGGGCTCTTACCATTACGGGCTTCGCCTTGCCCATTCTTATCTTCACACGAAGGTCCCTGAGGATTTAAAATCCTTGGTCGAGGATTTGAAGACAGTGAACGAGCTTGCAGGGGAGCTCGAACATTCTGCCTCTGAGGTCGAGGAAGATGGTGAGGATGATGATGGTGATGGAGGTGACGTCGGGACTGGCGATCAAGGGGGCGATGTCAGGGTTGTAGATATTGATTAGGTCCTTGACCCTGATGTTTTGAAATTTTTTTGTAATATTGCTCGAACTGGGTTGATACTTTTGTTTTTAATTTCATCGACGAATATTTGTGCACATTACCTTGTTTTTAATTTAATCGATGAATGTTCGTGCACATTAGTTCATTACTTGTGTTTGTTTTCAATGCACAAGGCTTTTGAATTCGATCAACACTCGACGTTGAACTTCAGGCATGTCCGAGCTCGATTCTTGATGTACTCATCGAGGTCGAGCTTAGGGACCAGTAAGGCAATCCAGATGACGAGTTCGAGCTGTTCACTTGACTATAACTTGGGTGTTTTAAGCTCAGGGTGTCTTGTTGTGCAAAAGGCACTGGGCTCGTGTGTGATCTGTCTCCTGTGAATTCGATTGTTAAAGGTCACAGTTGTTATATGGAGTTTTTGTCACATAGTCTTCGAGACAGTTTCTAGGTCGCAGAGGGGGTTGGGTTTGATCTTTATCATGCAAAGAGGCCCGACCCCGAACTTAGCCATTTGTTGATTTTAAATACGAGAGAGGTCGGGGTTTATGGCCTTGGTTTGTATGTATGTTGCTACTTTTAGAGCACAGGGTAGGCTGCATGCCCGAGGTATGTTATTACGTTAAAGAATTGGTTGCATGCCCGGAGCACGTCATTATGCCGAAGTTATTGGCTGCATGCCAGTAGCACGTCATTACGCTAGAGTTATTAGCTTCATGCCCGTAGCACGTCATTACACTAATGTTGAAGAGTTGGCTGCATGCCCGAAGCACGTCATTATGCCAGAGTTATTAGCTGCATGCCCGTAGCACGTCATTACACTAATGTTGAAGAGTTGGCTACATGCCCGAAGCACGTCGTTACACCAAAGTTTAAGTAGTGCTAGTAGGAAAAAACTTGAATATTATTAGGTGCTCAAGGGAACTTAGCCCGAGCTAGTGAAAACAAAAAATGCTCATGGGTTCATAATCTCGAGCTACGGAAAACAAAATGCTCAAGGGTGGATAAACCCGAGCTACTGAAAAATAAAAATAAGGCGGGCGTGCGTGCAAGCCCTAGTACGATGCTATTGCTATTCTACTTGTAATATATTTTTAGGTTATCTACATTCCAAGGCATTGGGAGTGGATTTCCTGAAGTGTCTCTAAGGCTGTATGCTCAGCCTTTGATCCTTCGTATGACTTCGAATGACCCTTCCCATACCGGTCCAAGTTTACCTGGAGGGTGTCCAGCTGTCTCTGCTCTTCTTAGAACCAAATCGCCACTCTTAAATTCTCGGGACTTGACTTTGGTGTTGAAGTACTTTGCCGTTTTATTTTGGTAACTAGTAGCTCTCAGTAAAGCTTGCTCTCTTACTTCTTTAAGTAAGTCAAGATGTTCGGTTGTTTGGTCCTCCATGCTGGGTTCAACTCTCCTTAAAGTGGGGAGACTGACTTCGATGGGGATAGTGGCCTCTAAGCCGAAGGCCAACATGAAAGGAGTTTCGCCTGTTACTATTTTATGTGGAGTTCTATATGCCTATAGTATGGAGGGTAACTCATCGGGCCAGTCACCTCTTGCATTTTCGATCCTGGTGCGAAGGTCCTGAAGTATGATCCTATTTGTCACCTCAGCGAGGCCATTGCTTTGAGGGTGCGATACTGACGTCAGACGATGGTCAATCCCGAGATTGACACAGAAGTTTCTGAATTGTGAATTGTCGAACTGCCTTCCCTTATCTGTTAGAAGTACTTTAAGTATTCCAAACTTACATACAATCGACTTCCATACAAATGATCTGAGCTTGGCTTCTGATATTTTTGCTAGGGGTTCGGCTTCTACCCACTTTGTGAAGTACTCAACTACTACCACAGCAAATTTTAACTGTCCTCGGGCCATGGGAAAGGGCCCAAGGATGTCTACTTCCCATTGTTCAAATGGTGCCGAATAATGGATAGAGGTCAACTCTTCTGCAGGGGCATGTATAGCATTACCAAACCTCTGAAACTTGTCGCATCTTTTGACATATTCAGCTGCATCTTTCTTTATAGTTGGCCAGTAGTACCCATACCTTATTGATTTGTAGGCAAGGGCTCTGGCTCCCTGGTGATTTCCGCATATTCCCTCGTGAACCTCAGTCAGGGCTTGGAGAGACTTGGAAGGTTTGAGGCATCTCAGTTAGGGGAGTGTGAAACTTCTTCGAAACAACACCCCTCTGATACTACAATACTTAGCAGCTTTGGCCCGAATACTCCTTGCAGCGCGAGGGTCAGGAGATAGTTTTCCATTACTTATATACTCAACTATTGGATCAATCCATGAAGGCTCATGGTCAATGTCCATGACGCTCGATTTCGTGTTTATGCTAGGCTTTGTGATAATCTTGATGTGCACTGTTCTGTCGAGTCCATCTATCCTCATGAAAATGAGTCTGGATAGTGCATCAGCTTTGGAGTTATCTGCTCTTGCTATTTTCAATATTTCACAATTTGTGAACTGTCTTTGAAGATCATGCACTTTTAGGCAGTACAAGCTTATCTTTTCATCTTTCCTTTCAAAGGATCCTTCGATCTGTCCAACAACAAGCTGTGAGTCGCTGAAGACTCTGATATGCTCTAATTCCAAACTTCTGGCAAGTTCGAGAGCAATGACCACGGCTTCATATTCCGCTTCGTTGTTGGTTGCTTCAAACTCAAACCTAAGCGCGCATTGAACTTCAGTGGTTTTGTCTGGGCTGATGATAATTATCCCGGCCCCCAAGCCTGAGCTATTTGATGCCCTATCGATAAATATCTCCCAGGTTTTCGAGGTCATGCTTGGATTTTCTATTTCGGGCCTTTGTGTTTTTGGAGTGAGTTTAGCTATGAAGTCGGCCAGAGCCTGTGCCTTGATGGAAGGTCGAGGCTTGAATTCTATATCGAACTCGCCAAGCTCGATCGCCCACTTTAATAACCTTCCTGAGACATCTGTCCTTTGAAGTATGTGCTTGAGTGGTTGATTGATGAGAATTATTATGGGGTGAGATTGGAAATATTGCCGCAACTTTTTAGCAGTTACTATCAAGGCAAGAGCTAACTATTCCGCAAGGTTATACCAAGTTTCGGTGTCAAGAAGCACTTTACTGACATAGTAGATGGGTTGCTGCACCTTTCCTTTTTCCTTTACTAGTACTCCACTTAGGGCATTTCAAGAGACAGCCAAGTAAAGGAACAAAGTATCACCAGGCTCTGGTTTGGCAAGAACCGGAGGTACAACTAAAGTTTGCTTAAGCTGTTGGAAGGCTAGATTGCATTCATCATTCCATTCAAAGCTCTGGTGGCCTCTTAGAACTTTGAAAAAGGGGAAACATCTGTCCGCTGCCCAAGAGATAAATCTATTCAATACTGCTACCCGACCTGTAAGCTTTTGGATGTCCTTTTTGCTCTTTGGGGCTTCCATAGATATTAGGGCTTGGATTTTGTCAAGGTTGGCTTCTATTCCTCTATTTGTGATCATAAAACCTAGAAACTTTCCTGATGCTACCCCAAAGGCACATTTTGTCAGGTTAAGCTTCATGTTGTATTTTCGCAGTGTGGAAAACACTTCTTCAAGATCAGTGATATGATCATCCACCTGTTTACTTTTGAACACCATGTCATCTACGTAAGCCTCAATGATTTTTCCAATCAAATCAGCAAAGACCTTGTTGATTAGCCTCTGATAGGTAGCCCCTGTGTTCTTTTATCCGAATGGCATGGCCTTATAACAATAGATGGTTGAATCGGCCATGAATGAGATCTTCTCTTGATTTTCTGTGACCATTGATATTTGATGGTACCCTGAGAATGCATCCAAAAAGCTGTACAATTTGTGACCCGAAGTGCTGTCAACGAGACTATCAATCCGGGGCAGGGGATAGCTATCTTTCGGACATGCTTTGTTCAAATCAGTGAAGTCAATGCAAACTCGCCACTTCCCATTGGCCTTTTTCATGAGAACTACATTGGCAAGCCAGTCAGGATATTGCACTTCTCGGATGAATTGTGCATTGAGAAGCTTAGCAATCTCTTCTCCTATGACTTCGCACCGTTCCAGTGCAAACTCTCTTTTCCTTCGTTTGATAGGTTTGGCTCTTGGGTTTACATTGAGTCTGTGTACTGCAACCTCGGAGTCAATTCCCGGCATGTCTTCAACTGTCCAAGCGAATACGTCTTGATTTTGGGAGAGACAACTTATGAGTTTAGCCATGATGGTTGAGTCAAGGTCACTCCCTACTGTCACTTTCCTACCAGGCTCAAGCTCGACCTCGACCAACTCCTCTACCGGGGCAAGTCTCCCACGATTTTCAAGCTCGAGCTCGAGCTCTGAAAGCTGCATGACGTCTCCCTTCATTTTTTAGAAACTAGTCACATAGCACTGGCGTGCTATGGTTTGGCTTCCTCGGACGACTCCAACTCCACTATATGTGGGGAACTTCATCGCCAGGTGAAAAGTTGAGATAACAGCTCTGATTTTATTTAGCAATGGTCTTCCCAGAATGGTGTTGTAGGCCATCGGAGTTCGGACAACTTTGAAAGTTATGATATAGGTTACCTGCCGACCTTCAGATCCCAAAGTCATGGGTAATCCAATAATACCTTCAAGGGCAATGACCCCGCCACCAAATACTTGGAGGGTTGTTTTAACAGGCTTGAGTTGTTCTACTGAGATACCCATCAGAACAAAAGCTTTATGAGACAGTACATTAGCTGCACTTCCGTTATCCACAAGAATCCTCTTGACCTCAAAGTTAGCTATGATAGCTGATATGACTAGGGCGTTATCCTAGGGGAAAGATATTCCTTCCAAATCCTTCGACCCGAAGGTTATATCTTCCGTATGAGCAAGATCCGTATTGGAGGAGGCTGGAAGCTGTCTGGCATACTGCTTACGTCCATTGTTAGTGTCTCCTCCTGAAGCTGGTACTTCGATAATAACGTTAATAGTGCCTGGCATTGGTGGTTCACTGCCACGCCCTTCCTGTATGTTGTTCTGCTTGTTCCTCGGGCATTTTTCATGGCTAGTATAAGAGCCCAAAAAACCCCTCCTAATGAGAGCCTCAATTTGTTGCTTTAGAGCCAAACAACCCTCGGTGTTATGTCCCTGGTCCCGGTGGAAGTCACAGTACTTGGTTCTGTCTCTATTTTCAGGTAATGATTGCATTCTGGGAGGCCACTTAAGCTCTTTGAGCTCCTTGATCTCCATCAGGATGTTGGACCTTTATGTATTGAAGGGAGTAAAGGTTTTTGGTCGGGGGTTTTGTCTTGGCTTGACCCGAGGAGTGTCGTCTCGTTGATTGGGCTCACGCGGTCTCTTATTATCCGACCTAAGTAAAGGTGAAGCATCCTTTCTTGGGGTTAGAGTTTCTTCCATATTGATGTATTTCTCAGCTCGAGTGAGTAGGTCAGTTACTGACTTTGGGGGGGGTTTTGACAAAGACATCTTGAATGCTTTGTATCTTATAGCGTACGTCAGAGCTGAAACCGCAGCTGTAATATATAGATCTGGAATCTGAAGTCTTTCTTTATTGAATCTGTTCATGAAATTGCGTAATGTTTCATTAGGTCCCTGGCGCATCTGCATAAGTGATGCCGCTGTCTTCCTAATTCGCTTGCTACTTGGGAAGAAAGCGGAGAATTTATCAGCTAAGTCTGCGAATGAAGCAATAGAGTTTGGCTCTAATGTAGAGAACCAATCTCTAGCTGCGCTTGTAAGAGTTTGAGGGAATGCTTTGCACATTATAGCGTCAGGTGCGACCTGTAGGTTCATGATATCGGTATATATATTGAGGTGGTTGATAGGGTCAGTGGTCCCATCATATTCCTTTATCCTGGGATACTTGAACCTATCCGGAAGGGGGTAGGACAATACTTCAGGAGTAAAGGGAGTGCTAGGGGTAAAGCCTATTGTCCCCTTCGATTTCTGTGCTAGGCCCGCGGCAATACCTTCTTGGATGATTCTGGCAAGTTCACTTGACTCTATCGTTATTGCCCTTGAGGCCGCGGTCATAGGAGGTACACCCGAGGTTCCAACACCATTATCAGGTATGTTTTGTGGAGCGCGAGCTTGGGCAGCTGCCATAAGATCACCATCCAGTGTCGGTGTATGCAGTGGGTGTGAGTTTCTTTGGCTTAATAACTAAGTCAATGTGGTAACTTGTTGGCGGAGCTCTTCAAAAGCTCCAGTGGTAATGATAGCCGGTGGCGGTGCTGCCATCTCTGATGATTCCTCTTGAGGGACAGGATGATCTTCAGGGGGAGGATTTGGAGCGGATGAGCTTGCTGGTGGAAAACCTGATCGTGTATTCACCATGGCTTTTGGTAGCGATTCACACAGACGGCGCCAATGATGCTACCAAAAAATACCACCTGAAAGATCTCGAGCTTGATGGTCGAACTTCACTTTGATGAACACGACCGGTCTGAGAATACCTACAACAAAGGAGACGAGGTGTGTGCTCGTCGCCTCTCCGATGCTTAAGTCAGATAGGGAATTTAGTGGGTGAGGCTATAAACTGAAGATAATGAAAAACGTACCTTGATGTTGAGCTTTGGTCAAGTATTTATAGGTGTTGGTGGGGGAGCTGTAGAAGAATTCTATTACTGAAAGAGTCATTTTCCCCTTAGGACTAGGTGTTGGAGTTTAATTAGAAGTGTATTGTTAGAGTACTAATCAGGGAAGGAGTAGATTTAGGTGGGGTTTATTTTTTGGAGATTAATTTGGTGGGTAAGGTCGAATTAGATAAAAGAAACCCTGACCTTAAACCGGCGTGAGACGCCGAGATCAACTCGGGGGTCATAGGTCGAGGTCGAGGATTATGGGCAAAATGAGGTCTAATTCGGTGTACCCAGTCCGGAGTCATCAGCTGGTATGCCGGACAGTTTAATAATGGAATATAGTCATAATGGAATACCATGATCATATTCATCAAGTATATATGAAAAAGAAATCAAAATAGCATCATAATTGAAAAATGGAGTGATGGAATGAAATATACTTGGTGGCAACCGGCAGGCTTCAATAGCAACCGAAAAAAGAGGAGTTTAGCGTATGGAACTTCAACGTGGCTGCCTAAGTGAAATGTCTCAAGTTGTTAGATCGACGTTTAAGCGTTACACTGGCCAAAAATTGGACGTCTTTATCTACGATCGATGTGCTTCAGAGAGTTCGAAAGAGAGAATAAAAATCGGACCGTACCGGCCTTTTCCGTTAGAAAAGCCGGGAATGATCGGAATCTGATTCGGTCACATGCTAAAAATCGGAGGAGAAAAAATTGGTGTAAAATCTTGTAACCCGCCTGTTTAACCGAAAACCAATGATCTGGTGCCCATTTTTCATGGGTTCAACAGACAATTTTTGTTTGAGGAAAAAACAATTAAGCTTGTCCCTACCATTTCTTCACTTGTTCAAAACTCTTCAAAACTCACAGCAATCTAATTGATTAAAATTATATAACAATTAAAGAAATACATAAATCAACATCTATGTTCATAGTTGGTATATGTATTTGTGTATAAACATAAATCAATATATATGCTTATAAGTGGGATATGTATTTTTATATACATATGAATTTGTATGTGTGAGTGAAAGTAGAAACAACGAGAAAGGAAACGCCATTGAAGAAATAGTGGAATTGAAACAATGAACATGAGATTAAATGGTAGGGTTGTCTTTTGCATACACGGTCGATGTGTGTATAACTTATAAAAAAAATAAGCCTTCCAGCCATTTAGCACGTTTGAGTTCCATTTTTGTTCAAAATGTATTTTGAAATAATATTTAAATGAAGAATGAGTGGTTAAAAAATAAGGAAAAATTCTGAATTTACGTATAATATTATTTTATTGGAAAACGTATGGTTGGAAATAAGAGAAAGAAAAATGTCTTTTAAAAATAATGGGGACCAAACAAGGGCTTAGTCCACATGCTCATTTTTTAATATTTTTATATATTTTTAAATTTTAAAAATTATCAGGTGAATTTCAGTTTGACCTTGGTTCAACCCTTTGACCGTTGATCATTTTCTTTCTTCGGGTCAATGCCCGGCCGATTTTTATTGGAGACAACTGTTTCAAGTACATGCTTTTTTCTCTATAAAGTATAGTTATTAATGTTTGTGTTATTCAATATGAAAAAAGTTTTTCACTATGACGCTATTGTTTCAAGTACTTTATTTATTGCAACCATCTCAAAAAAGATTATTTCTTTAAACCCAATTTTTTAATATAATGCAAAAGTGATGCAGTAATTATATTTAAAGGTGACTAATTATTAAGTAATGATTCTAATACAACACTATATACATTAAAAATGGGCTCGTTTACCTAACTAAATCACATATACACTATACACAGGGCACAGTTCGTTCGTTTACCTAACTAAATCACAAAATAAACATCTGGATTTAGATTTTCACCAACTTAAATTACAAAATTTCAAAGAGATAACAAAACTTTCGAAAATCATTATCATCTTTGGATTTCTAATTCTTTCTTTCTTCAAATTCTGTCAAAATAATTTCTAAATTATTTTTGATTTTCGTGTTTGATATTTAGTATTCAATAGCCTCTGTTCTAAAATAGTATAGTAAAGCATTGGTTCTTCCGACAAAATTAATATTGTGCTATATTCATTTTGGAAGAAGCGTTATATCCTGTGAGATGGATGTCCATTTGATATTGCCCATCATGAATCAGAAAATAGATGCCATCGCTTGGCAAATTTTGAATTGTCTGGCTTACTTACCGAATGCATTCATTAATCACCTTTATATAATGATTTACAATAACTGAATGTAGTCATAATAGGAGACTATAAAGAAAATACAATAGCAACAGAAGACTACCAAAGATAGGAGACTGTCAAGGATATACTACAGTTGTATTGATTACAATGTTTACTGATTTGAACTTAGCCAACAGGAGGTTGAGTTATCTACAGATGTTTAGTTGGCTTCTGTTCTTTTATTCTCAACCTGAAGATTGAGTTCACGTGGGAATACTTTAACACCATCTCCGTAAATTGATGGGGAGCAAACACACCTTCAGTTTGTGATGTAAGAATTGAAATTTGGCAGCAGATTGTTCTTTGGTAAACAAATCTACTATTTGATCATCTATAGCAATGTGTTTAACTTGAAAGTCACCATTAACCACTTTTTCAAGGATAAAATGGTAATCAACATCAATATGTTTTGTCCAAGTGTGTAACACATGATTTGAAGCTAATATAGTAGCAATAATGTTATCATACCACAAAACTAGAGCAGTATGCAAGAAAACCTACAATTCTTGGAAGAGCATTCGAATACATTACATCTCTGCAATTGCCAATGCCATGCTTCAATACTTTGCTTCTCTACTTGAACGGGACACGATGTTTTGTTTCTTCGCTGTCCACGAAATGAAGTTTTGTACCAAGAAAATACCATAGCCATTGGTGCTTTTCCTGTCATTTGGATTTCCAACCCAATTAGAGTCACAATATGCATTGAGCACAATAACATTAGAAGAGTAATGAAGTCCAAAATCAATTGTGCCAGCATAATTGTCACACCCTACACATTATAGTCAAAGTCAAGAAGATATTTGGTCAATTCAAAGTGAAAAGAGGACTTCAGTTGAAGTAAAATAATTTCATGGGGACTATTATAAGTAAATGGTATTTGTTGTTGCTAACCGGTGATTATGGAAACAAATTAGACCACAAAGGAAGAGCCCAAGAATTGGCCGAACGGGCTTTGCACAGAGGCAGCAAAATGGAGGTCGCGAGCGAGAGAGAGAAACACAGCACCTGGAGCGAATTCGATGCTCAAACGTCGGACAAGTCACCAACAGAGGAAAGTGAAAAGGGCCACAAAAAAAGAGCAAGGCAGTCGATAGTCACGAAGAAGAAGCAAAAAAGCTGAAGTCGAGGTTTTCTTAAGAAAAGCAAAGGAAATCGAGTATTGTGTGTGTCTCAACAAAAGACAAACACCCATTTATGATAATAGGTCAAATAAATGGGTCAATGGTAATGGGTCGAGCCCTAGCATTCATCTCTTAGTGTCAGTGTCGGCCCAGCATAGTGCTCTTGCCGTTAGTGTTCTTTTCGATCTCTACGCATTTCACCGCTCCATCGAAAATTCACTCTGCCCCTACAGTACTCCAGTTTGGTAGTTTCCATTGCCTATCCTATGGTGGACTTAAAAAGCCACCTATAGA